TGGGCGCCGGCGATCCTTCCACCTCAGCCTTCCGAGTAGCTGGAATTACAGGCGCGCGCTACCACGCCCGGCTAATTTTTTGACTTACTGTAGAAATGAGATCTCGCCAAGTTGCCCAGGCGGGTCTCGAACCCGCGGGCTCAGGCAATCCACTCCTCCTCAGCCTCCCAAGGCGCAGGATTACAGGCTGAGCCACCGAGCCCGGCTGCATATGGGTATTTTTGAGGGCGAGTGCATCATCATGTTTTTTTTTTGGTTTGCTTGTATGTTTTTGTTTTTTGTGTGTGCCTATCTGTTTTCCTTCTGCTTCTCCTCTATCTTCATCTTCCTTTAGTCTCCCCTTCTTCCTTTTTCTGTTCTTCCTCTTTTACTTATTTCATTTTGCTCACAAGGGGCATACATACACCTCCACCGCATGGACAGATTGTAAAGTGGTGGAAAGTGGGTTCCAGGGGGCCCACCCACCTGTCAGCGGATACAGGGATCTACAGATAGTTTCTTTACTACAGCCCCCCCATCATACCTGAATCAAATTTCAAAACTGCAAAAAGTACAGCCCACATCCCCAGTCCGGCTTCAAAACTGAACAAATCCAGAGGTTCTACATAAGGAAGAATAGGGGATTGAGCAAACAGAAGTGAAAGCTATCCCCCCATCATGGAGCAACGAAATTAAAGGGGGGGGGGAAGGAGGAGGAAAATCATCATAAATGAAGAGTCCCAGGAAGAACTCAATTCCCATATAGAAGACCCCTGGGAAGACAGCACCTGAGAATACAGACTTTGGAACTTGAACAATGAAGAGCTGCCAGAACGACTAATCCCAAACCACAAACTCAGACATCAAGATATTAATGGAGAGAATGAATAGAAATGAGAAGACACAAGAGGAAAGAATGAAGGAGTTGATAACTGAGATGCCAGCAATAAAGAATACACTAAATGAAATAAATAACAAATTGACAAGCATGGAAAGCAGAATTAACTAAGCAGAAGAAAGAATCTCAGAGCTTGAAGAACAGAGTATGGAACTAACCCAAACTGTTAAAAACATAGAAAAGAAGCTTTAAAGGATGGAACAAAGCCTCCAAGAGATGTGCAGTTATATCAAGAGCTCAAACCTGAGATTAACTGGCATTCCTGAGACAGATAGAAAAACAGAGACCACCCTGGAACAAACATTCCATGAAATTATCCAAGAAAACTTCCCTCATCTCATCAGAGACATGACCATTCAAACAAAAGAGATTCAGAGAACCCCTGCAAGACATCAAATAAGAAGACCAACTCCTAGACACATAGTAATCCGCTTACACAAAGCAGGTATAAAGGAAAATAAGGCAGAAAAAGGATTGGAAGAGACTGGTTTGCCTTGGACAGAAGAGTCAAGAAAGGCCTCTGGAATGAGTTAACATTTAGCAGAGACCTGAGTCTGCGTATATTTGAAGAATAACAAAAGTTAGAGCAAACGCAAAGGACCTCAGGCAAGATCATGCTTGGCATAACACTCAAGTGTTACCTCCAGGCTAGATTATTCTTCCTTAGTTCTGGAACTATATATACAAAACTGCCTCTGTGGTGTACAGCATGTGGTTAGATGCCCTACAAATACAAACCCAGATGCCCTACAAACACAAAACATTTTCTCTCTTTACTTTGCTATCCCACGTCCAATATACTATAACCATTATTTCAGTCAATTATACCACAACTCAGCTGCCTAAACACTATTTAGGGCAGGGAAAAATCTATAACCTATTTTCAAACTCTCTGAAAAGCAGCTCAAAACTAATGCACTAGTCCAACTTTCCACTGACCTGCACTTTAGATTCTGATATACAGAATCTTTTATTTCACCTAATATCTCTATGTAAAGTGAATCAAAAGTAAAACTATAGAGAGTAAAGGATTATCTAACAAAAGCACTTGAAGCAGTGGTTCTCAAATTGGCTGTACATTAGGATCAATAGGTATTAGGTGCCTGCAATTCTCTCTTAGGTAAGTTACCAAACAGAAAAAAACACAGGAACTAATAAAAGATTTCCGAGCACAGGGAGATGGTATAGAGTTGAGAACCGCTGACTCAGAGGGTTACACAGCTTAATGCTGCCTGTGTCAGAAGAATCCACCTTGGCTCCACTCTTTTTCCATTCTAGTTCCTCAGAATGTGTTTCTAAGACCCATTATATCATCCTAAAACACTAGCACTTACCTCACTTCAGGCTCTCTTAACTTCTCCCCGGGATTAATGACTGAAAGGAAGGAACTCCGAAAACTTATGATAAACTTAGTTATAAACTTAGTTTTAGCGCAGCCATTTTGCTTAGCTTTACCCCTGACACGCTTTGCTGGACAGCCTGCACATTTTTCTTATCCTGTAATTATTAGCAGGAAAAAAACTCTTTCCTAGAAACAGTTTTCCAAGGGTTAGGCCGTAGAAATCAGTGATTGTTTAAAGCTCTTAAGCATGTTCAGTCCTAATAAATTTTTTTTCCAGGCATTTGTATTAATACATTGCTATTAGACATTCATGATAATCTCCTGTCCACCACCCGAGGTTATGAGATGCTGGTGCCTGGTGATGTCAAGATCCAAGACTTATGTAGCTGCAATTAACATCAAAGAGTACAGTTCTGGACATTCCTTTTGGCCTAGACCCCTCCAAGTTCAAACCTCCCTTGTCCCAAGGACCCTTAAATATACCCAGTTCTCAGCCCTTTGATGCCACATTTGCCTATTGAGTACTGGCCCCTTTCTACCTGTGGAAATTGGATAATAAACTTTACTTCTTTCTCTGCTGTAATCTTGCATTATTCCTGTGGCACCAGTCCACCTTGTCTCATTTTACCCTTTCAATTACTTTCAAACTTTTTTTGACCAGAGTAAAAAATGTATTTTACATGAACATTTGTGCATACTAGACTGCTATTTATCAACAGATTTTATATTTACAAACAAAAATCAGAAAAACACACTTTCAGGAAACAATGCTTATTCTTACTATATTTAACACACACCATTATTTCCTATTCTAGCCTTCATTTATTTATTTCATCATGTGTTCAAATACTGGTCATAACCTATTAACAGACTGCAGCATACAATTTGAAAAACACTAATCTAGTTACTTCAAAATTCTAGCACAAAGATCATAAATGGTGGCTACAAGACTGTTGAAGCATTTATTTGGCCCCCATAGAAGTTGATGTACTTATTGTTTTGAACTGGAATGCTTGTTTCTCTCACTTATAAAGCCACCTGGCTGCTACTCTATCTTGTCTCCTTAACTCCTTGGAAATCCATACCACCAAAAGAATGATCTTAATAAAATGTAAATAGGATTATGCCACTCCTCTGCTTAAAATTCTTTAATGCTTATTCATGATTTTCAGGAAAAACTCCCAAGCCCTTAGCAAGCACACAGAATTCTTCATAGGGCTGTTTACTCATCAGCATTATATAGCTTGCTTCTTCAAGTGCTGAACTCAAACTATAACAAAATAGTAATTCCTGAGTTAAGCATACTCATTTTCAAAGATGCTAGAGGTTTGAATATGCAGTTGGTTCTTCTAAGAATAAAACCTTTCCTCCCTTGTGCCTCCTTTATCTGCTTTGCTAATAACTCTTACTCTCCTCTCAGAAATCCACTTAAGTGTCATCTCTTTCAGAAAGTACTCTTTGATCTCAACAGCACAGGTTACTCCTTCTGTTTCCCGTTTACATATGTTCCTTCCCACAGCATCCAAAACTTACCTTTGGCATTAGTGTATAATCAGATTGTTTACTTATCTTCACCCTCTATTAGACCATGAGCTTATTGACAGTAAGAATAGCTTCTTATATATCTGGGTCACAGTGACTGACACATGAGAGACAGGATAAATGACTACTTTGCCAAAGATAAAAGACACAGGGCAAAAGATTTTTGAGGGTGAACAGGAAGATAATGAAAGGTTCAAAATGTCTGCAGTAAACAAAAGAGGGAATTTCCAGAAAGCAGCTGAGAAAAGTCTGGCCTAAACATACAGATTTAATAGTTAAAGTGACAGAGAGTGCTAGATCTATTAGGGGAAGCACACACAGGAAAAGACCAAAGGCTGAAACCATAATTAAGCAGTGGGCAAGCTCAGAAGAATCTGAGAAAAAAATAGTTCTAAAAGTAAGAAAGGTATATTAATGTAGTGACTGCAGTAAGAAAATGAGGGCAGTAATGTAATTAGAGACCTCTAGAAGTGCAGATTTAACAGCTACAAGTTGATATTCTGACCACTGTGAGATGTGTTGGAAAGCACTGTCCATAATCTTACTACAGCACTTTCAAATTACATGTATGTACTGTACACATTTATAAATCTGAATCACTAAATAAGCTACTTGAAGGCAAAGACAATGACTCATTAATCTTAGTATGATTAGTGCCAAGTAAAGAGTCCAAAAACTTTAAGTAAATATAGAGGAGAAGACTAAATGGAATAGACATATAGAATAATCGAAGGAAAATCATGAGGAGGTTAATAACTACAATAGGAAATTTTTAAAAGAGTAAGAATTACTAAGCAGCAATGAAAAATCGAGTCTTCAATAAAGCCAAGTAGCAGGGTTATGTGACTTTCACCAGCACTCAATGTTAACTGAGGAAAAGGGTGGCTTCTTGTTCTCCAGTGTGGTCTGGAGAGCAAGCCACCATAGAAGCTAGAAAACTGAAGCTATTACTTATGGTGTTATGGTCACCCTTATTAAGAAGTAAAAATAAACCAAGAATCAAATTGAGAGAGTCTTGCAAATTAACATTAAGTTTTTCTTTACCCTTCATACTGCACATCTTGCAACCAGATGAATAATTGTTCTTAGTTCCAGAAAGTACTTTACAACAAATAAATAGTATGATTCAGATTCCAAATTACTGAACAATACAAACAGTTTATACACACATTCAATAGTAATGCACACTGACCTGCTACTGAAATGCAAGTCAAACATTAAAAAAGAAACTTCACATACCCTGATGGCAAAGTTTCTGTGTTGGCATTTCCCGACTGCTGCCGTATAGGCTCCACACACCCATCTGGCTGTCTTGATTTGGCTGCTTCAAAAGCAGAACTATTTCCAGAATTAGAGGTGTCAAGGTCTAATAGACTTCTAGCTCCAGGTCCTAATTCTTCTCTGGTAGAAGGAGTACATTCATTGTTTTCTGAGGAAGCCAGTATTTCTTGAACTGGAGGATCTTCAACAGTAGTACTAGTGCAATTTGAAGACAAGGCGTTTTCTTCAGACACTACAGGAATACCCGTAGCAGAAGCATTATCAGTTGGTGCAAATGAGGATGATTCTCCATTAGCTAAGAAAGAAAAATTAATAAATGATCTATCAAGTAATGGCAAAGCAACTAATCAATCAATTACATTTACTCGGAGCCTAGTTCAGACTAAATAATGTAGCAGATACTGATGCACATAAAATAAGACTAGATATTATATTTTTCATTGCTCAAATTTTAGGGATAGGTAAATAATAAAAATTTAAGTATATATACTTATAATCTTAACTTAAGGAAAAAATAAGCCAACATTAGGATAACAAATGTTTTCCTCCAAATTATCAATTCTGAGAGAAAGTCTGTATGGACTATATAAAGACTTAAAAATGATCCCTTTCCATCTCCCTTCTCTTATGTAAATAGTAGCTAATAGCTACAGAACTCTTTTGGCAATAGTAGAAAATATATCATGGCATCAATTCTTAAGATAGTACCATAGGGGTTGCAAAAGGATCCAGGAACAAATTCTATACTTTCAAATAAACAATCCAGTACTGAGACCTAGTGACATTGTTTTCCTTATTTTCATTTTAAGTGTGACTGATCTAGTTCAACTGTGTGTCACTATAAAAGTGAGTCAAATTAAAACTGTAAACATGAATAAATTACTCAACAAAACCTATTGGAAAACCACACACCAAAGTTCAAATGGAAATTGCATAGGGAGACATAAGAATTAATAAAATCTTCATGTAAATTTTTTTTTTCTTAATTTTTGAATCAGAGTCTTTACTCTGTCGCCCAGGCTGGAGTGCAGTGGCATGATCATGGTCATTGCAGCCTCAACCTCCGGGCCTAAGACAGTTGTTCTGCCTCAGCCCCCTGTGTAGTTAGGACTACAGGCACGCATTACCACAATGGGTTAATTTTTAAAATTTTTTGTAGATACAAAGTCTCGCTATGTTGTCCAGGCTGTTCTCAAATTTCTGGCCTCAAGCGATCCTCCTTCCAAAGCCTCCCAAAGTGTTGGGATTACAGGCACGAGCCACCATGCCTGGCCTTCAGGTAGATTTTAAAGAAAAAAAATACTAAATGGTGGAAAGAAGAGAAGAGTGTACTATTAACGAGCATACTATCAAATGGCATGTGCAAAAGAACAGAATAAATCAAGTTCTTTACCAAATATGGAAAGGATGATAGCTTTGATTGGAAAAAAAAAATCAACAAAATACAGTACAAAAAAACCCAAAACATTTACAGAGCTACCCCATATCCAACACTGTTAGATATCATGGAGAAATAGAAAGAGTGTGCAGAGAGACTGAATACTAGTGTCTCCTACATGATGTTCACCTACAAACATTATCTCATTTAATTTTTACTCCTTCATGCTGTGGAAAATAATTCACACAAAAGATAGAATTAACAACCCTTCTAAATCAAAGAACACTAAATAGAAAAAGGAAAACTTGAGGAAAGATAAAATGCAGTCCTACTCGGAAGGCTGAGGCGGAAGGATCATCGGAGCCCAGCAGGCGAGGCTGCGGTGGCCGGGAGCGGCCACTGCACTCCAGTCTGGGCAACTGAGTGAGACTCCAACTCAAAAAAAAAAAATGCAGTCCAGCAAGAAACAGTCATGAGCTTCTGCGTACACTAAGACATAGCACATGAAACACAAACTGTTAGAAATAGAGAAAAGAAATTTAAAGGTACAATTGCACAAATCAATCACTCAAGGCAAACATTTCTTTCCCACATATGAGAAAATCTAACAGCAAGTGCTCTCAGATCTTCTCTCCATCTTCACTACTAAACCCTCGTCCATCATTTCTTGCCTACATTACTGCAATAACCTCCTAATTGGTATGCCTACCTCCTCTCTTGTCTAACTACAATCCATTCTCCAATCAGCAGCCAAAGTAATCTCTTAAAAAACATAACAGATCTTTTCGTTTGCCTGATTAAATATGCCAATAGATTCCCATTACCAGCAGAATAAATCCCAAAGTCTACCAAAGTCCATAACAAGTTTATACACAGACTGGTCTACAGCTATGTCTGACTTCTCATTATGGTTGTCTTTCTGTTCCTTGAATAGAACAAATAGAACACTTCAGGGATGTGGCACTTGCTGTTCCTATCACAGAATAATTAAATGAATGGCTTCCTCTCATCATTTAGAGTATATCCTCAATCATACCTACAGAAAGGCAGTCCCTGAATACTTTATTTAACATTGCACATATCCCACCCTCAGTCCAGGTTGCGTATTATACTGTTTTTTTTTTTCCTGTTTCTTGTTCTGAAATCACTTATTAGTTTTTATTATTTTTCATTAAGTTTGGAGTACCAAAACTTTGTCAGACTTGCGGACTTTTGTATTCCCAACAGCTAAACAATAAGACATATGAAAACAATAGTATTAGTTGAATCAATAAGTTAAAGACAATTCACAGAGGAAAAACTGAATATACTTGTAGCAAAACTGTCTTTCAACTTTTACATATTAGACCCAAACACACTATGTTCTCAGAGAAACTAAGTACAAGACAAAAAAAAAAAAAAACCCAATTATGCAATCAGGAGGTCACATTCTGACTATAATTCAATAAAACTAAAACCAAGATAAAACACAACTTATTAAAATATTTATTAAAAGTCTGGCAGAATCTGTTAAGTACTTTTTAAGGATTATCTTCTTTAATCCCCACAGATCAAAGTTATGATGTAGTTATCAGCATTTACTGGTGAGAAAACTAGTTTTTACAAGTCCATTAAAGCGAGAGTTCACTCTTCAGTCATAATAAATTTGCTTAGGTAATAAGAAAACAACAAAATAGTTACTGAGTTGAAGAAGAAATAAAAATGAAATTACAAACTGAAAGAGAATTAATGGCAATAAAAACACTCATATCAAATGCTACTGGACGCGGCCAAAGTATCCAAAGATTTAAGAAAGAATGGTAATAAAAGACCTTAGAATTCAATTCCAGAGGTAGAAAAAAAATTGCAGAAGAAAATGCATCAAAAGACCAATAAACAGATCATAATTTCTTAATTTACTTGGTAAGCATCCATTGGGATCTTACTGAAAATGATTTCTCAGTTCCCACTCTGGACTTATTGAATCTCTAAAAGAAATCTCTAGGGCAGAGTCTGGGAATCTGCATTTTAAATAAAAGCATCAGATGATTTCTTATCAGGGAAGTTGGAGAAACCATAAAATATACCTTTCCAAGTTTTTATTTTAAAAACCAAAAAATAGATAATATGAACATTAGAAATACCATATACAACTGTATATCAATGAATCTGAAATATATTAGCTAAACTAACTCAAAAGATAGAAAAATTTAAAAGGCAAATCAGAGTAGAAAGGGAAAAGGTGATGAAAGATTTAATATCATTCTCCCTAAAGGCATCAGGCTCAGACAGCTTTTTGAGAACATTCTACAGACTTTAATGAACAGATCATTTCAATATTATTTACACTGTTATATACATTAGGGGAAAAAAGTAAAAAGGAGTTTCCAAACTCATTCTGGGAGGGCAAGGTAACCCTTTTAAAACTGAAACTGAATAAATATAGTACAAGAAGACTATAGACTAACGACATGTATAAAGGATGGTTCAATGTTATAAATTATGTTAGAAAATCTACTATGTTAGCATATTAAAGGATAAAGAAAATATTCATATGATTATTCTGAATACAAACCAAAAAGGATTCAATAAAATCTTGCTAATAAGAAGAATCAAGAAAAATTCATGAATAATCTAGATCATATATCATAAACCTACAACTAAGCATTATATTAATGATAAAACATTAAAATAATTTCTTTTAAGATCAAGAAGAAACTAAAATCAGCAACAAAACAAAGAAGATCACACAATCATCACTAAATATTGCTGATTATATTTGACAATGCATAAAGAAAAAAAGGCATACAAATATTGGAAAAAAATAGTAAACATTTGTAAAAAAGTGAGAAAAGGATAAGATGTTTATTTAGAACACACAAGAAAATCAACAAAAAACCATTAAAACCAATTAATTTAGAACTAAAACATTTCAGCAAAATGACCAGACACAAATTCAACATCAAGATTACATTCCACCTATATTTTTAAAATGTTTTAAAAATACTAAGAAACATTTTAAAAAACAGAATAGAGAAATAAATAAAATCTCTCTGAATAGGAAGATCCAGTCTTGTTAAAAAAATAAAAATAAACCCTCCTTAAAATGAAAATGCTGGTCATGATGTAGAGTATCAAGAATTCTCATTTATTCCTAATGGGAATGCAAAAGAGTACTGCCACTCTTGGCAGTTTATTACAAAACTAACATAACTGTTTCATACAATCCATCAGTCCCAATCCTCACTAAACTGAAAACTTGTGTCTATGTAAAAGCCAGTGTATAGCAGCTTTATTCCCAATGGTCAAAAATTGACACAATCAAGATGCTTCAATAAGTGAATGGATAAACAATAGTGGTGCATCCATACAAGGGAATATTATTTAGTGGTAATAAGGAATGAGATATCAAGCCACAGAAGACATGGAGAAACCTTAAATGCACACTGCTAAGTGAAAGAAGCAAATCTGAAAAGGCTACACACTGTAGGACCTATATGACATTCTGGAAAGGGCAACTATAGAGACAGTTTTTTTAAAAAAAAAAACAGTGGTTGCGAAGAGTTTGGTGGAAAGAATGAATAAATAAAGCACAAAGAAATTTCATAGTAATAAAACAATTCCATACACCACTCTAGTGGTGTATGTGATAACATATTTCCCAAAACTCACAGAACCAGTATGATGCAGAGAATAAACCTTAATGTAAACTATGGACTTTAGTCAATTAATAATAAATTATTAATAATTCATTAACTGTAACAAATGCACCAGAGTAATGCAAAGTGTTATTAATAGGAGAAACTCTAAGTGGAGTAGGGAGGTATATGGGAACTTTGTATTATATGCCCAATTTTGCTGTAAATCAAAACTGTTCTAAAATATAAAAGTTATTAATTTAATTTTTTAATTATAATTATGGGGCACACGTGAGTATT